CCTTCTTCCTTTGCACAAACCTGGTGCCCCGCCGATTTGGACATCTATTTCCCCCCTCGAGCTCATCATGCTTCGCTCGCTCTTGTCCGCTATGATCCCTTGAAGAAATCAGACGCCTACTCCTCCACCACCAACCACCCTTGCCTCAAGCGTCCCACGTTACGGGAAGAAATCGATACGATCACTTACTACTATCGACCGAGCACTCGCCGTCTGCCCCTCACCAGCTCGAACTCGCCCACGCTCATCCGTCATCCGCCGTTGCCACTGCCCCTCGGCTCACTACAGACTGTCCTTCGCTGCCCGCGCCTCCTTCCGTAGGTTGCGCCTCTGGAACCCGGCACGCCAGCTCGACCCCGACTCTTTCTGCACGGAAGGCAGAATCCAGCGAGCCTTCACGGCAGGGCCATTCCACCCTGTTGGGCACGCGTGATAACCTTGCTCGTAAGGAGGCGTTCTCTCGACCCGTTGTGGTGGGGTTTGGCGTTAATACACCTCAGCCATATCAGTCACAAAAAACACTGAATCACTCGTCATTGCCTCTGCCTCCGCATCCGCCTCCGCCCGGATCAACATCACCAGCCCAGCAGCGCGCCTTTCGTACCTCAATGTCTATGCAGCTTGGCCTGTGACTGCCGCGGCCCTCACCAAGAGAGGGCTTTCCTTTTGTGGTCGGCAACGGCAGCAGTAGCAGTATAGCATTAGTAGCACGACACCGCAGGAATCCTCCGTCCACCACACTCTCGCGAGTCCACGAGACAGCTGTGAGGCTAGAGCTAGGGTTCGGTGGGAACCTTTGATCCGAGGCAACGACGACGCCCGCGTCGAGCGCTCTTTGCAGTAACGGACCTGGCACCCCTCGATCCGGAGCCTGAGGAATACCGATACCCAGCCAAGACGTTGTATACACGCTGCCTTCTGCAAGCCTCGCAGCAGCGGCCTCACTTGTTCAACGGCGATCTCACCTCAACGGTCGTGGGCCGAATAGCAGAAATACGCCCCCGCCTCACTCGATCGCACACGGATCCAAAGCTTCTTCATCGTGTCTGCGCAACCTTAGACCCCACTGTGCCTTCTCGCCCATATCCTCCTGGCGGAAAAAGTATATAGCTACGAAGCCTTTCTTCGACCGAACTCTCTGGGGCCTTTGACCTTTGGATCTCATCCATCCCACCACGCAAATCCTCCAAGGCCATAACAGGGACGCCTGTCACAGCTCAAGTTTTCGAATATTTGTTTTCTACTACGTCTCCTGCTGCAACTCAAATCATCGCCAAACTTAGGTCCTCACTACCCTGAAGAAACCATGTCTGCGGCTAATGTCCCCCTTGAGGCCACCTGGCAAGGCCATGTCGCCTCGACTCTTGATGCCGTTGTTCTGTTCGAGGCTTGCCTGTCTGGCAATCTTCGTCACGTCCCCCGTCGACCCCACGATCGTGAGCGCCAAGATCTTATCCAGAGCGGTCAGATCTTCATCTACGAAGAACACGCTTCAGGTATCAAACGATGGACCGACGGCGTCACTTGGAGCCCGAGTCGAATCCTCGGGAACTATTTGATCTACCGGGAGCTGGAGAGGCCATTTCCACCCGGCGAGAAGAAGCGCGCCGCAAAGAAGAACAAGAAGCAGACCAACGGCGGCATCTCCAAGAGCGAAGGGTGTCTACGACAGAACACAGGGATGAATGGGACCGCCACCGGCGCAAATGCCGCGAACTTATCCAGTGCGGGTTCCATGGATCCTTCCGAGGCATCTAGGAATCCTGAGCGCGCCTTGATCGGATCTCTGGTTGACTCATACCCTTTCAAAGAGGGCGGACTTGTCAAGAAGACGATCAGCGTTCAGTTCAGAAGCGTCCCGCATCATCTCGTCTCCTACTACACAGTTCAAGATGTCATGAGCGGTGCCCTCGCCACGCCTACATCGCACTCGGGCTTTCTACGGAATATCGTTCCCCGGCCCGAGCTCATCCTCAACCAAAACTTCAGAGCGCCAATCGATGAGGTAGATGTAGACGACAATCGTCTCATACAGCATCCGTTGAGCAGTGCGCACCAGGAGTATGTGAATCATATGCACCCTCCCACCTTCCGGACCTGGTCAGTACCTCACGTCAACATGGCTGTGGCCAACCCAAGACAATGGCCCACGAGCATGGTTCCCGCCCAGCAACAACAAATGCCACCCCCGCAGCATGCGCAGTACCTGCAGACACATCCGGGGGCCATGGCGGCCCCCATGCCCCCACCGAATTACGCTCAACCTTCAACACACCATCCATATGCCTACCAGGACGGTGTCATGCGCCCTCAGGTGACGACGTCTTCGACGCTGGCTCCGGATGTCTACAGAAACATGCTTGTAGACCAACCGCTCTCCCGCCGGCACTCCACGGCCTATGACTTGAGCAACTCGAGCCACGCCATCGGGCTCACTCAGACCATGTCCAACAACCCAGTGGACCCGATCAGAAACATGAGCCATCCCTTCATGCAAGCTACGCCTGTCTACGGCAATAGCGGACGTCTGCAGGAGCCGGTGCAGCATTCGGACGCATTCCCCTCGCCCCGAACACTGCCTCAGCAAGAACCCGGTCTCGATGGCTCTCAGCAGCATTCTGCGAGTCTCAAACTGGAAGGAGAAGAGTCGCATTTGCAGCACAACAATTCCTGGGGCACGTATGATGTAGCGGCTACGCATGATGTGTTCTTGGGTGGCACCAACACTGATCAAAGTCAGCCATTTTTGAATCCGGAAGGCGAGGAGGAGCAATACGACGAAAATAATCCGCCACCCACTTGGCCGCCAGGTTCCAATAATTCCATGGGGAGACTGTAACCAGTATTGCCTGATTTGGTGGTGTTCGAACAAGGTTTTTGGGTGGTAGATGTATAGAGCGGCACCTAGACGTCGCCGAAATACCCACTTCGGAAAAGTGGTCTGGGTTCAAAATAGGAAGAGGTCTTGTATTCGGGTTCTGATGTAGCATTCGGAGCCGATTCATCTATGATCGGCGCCCGACCGTAGCCGCCAGAGCCCAAGAGAACAGAATATTGTACAGTCAGAACTATTGACGATTAATGCAATGAGCATTGACCGAGTCACGTCTTTGTCAACACATGCTGTTTATTCTTGTTTAGACTTCAATGCATATGCTTCATTCTTCGTACAAACACTCGGAAGTTCAAAGGCCTGTTCCAGTTGTGGAAACGGTTGTTCCGTGTCTGCGGCCTTGTGACGTAAAAACGTCCAGCTATTCCACCTCCTCATCTTGGGTGAGTTCAGTCGCTAGGTGCCTTACAGGATGTTGGGAAATAGATCTCTTATATACATATCTACCTACTCAAGAAGCATATTTAGATATCCAGTCGCATCTGTTTGCATTGTACCTGTGATCCGGCATGACAATTTCGACGTTGACATCACCAAGCCGCGAGACGAACTACCGACGGTGAGGCTGCACACACGTCTGCTCAACATCATGTTGCTCCCACGGCTCAGTTCTTCTGTCATTGGCGGTAGTCGAGCGCTCGTACCTCTGGTTCCTGCCAAGGGCTGGGCACCTAGACGTCTGTACGGTTCTAGAGGCCTGCCATGTTTCCCACTCGCGCGCTACGCCATTCGCCATTCGCCCTCGTTTACCTCACATTGTCGAAACTATTCCCACCAGAAAGACCCACGTGAACCAAGCCCAAAGACGCCAGAACCTATGTACGTTCAAGCTTATTCGAATCCTACGCCGCAACGCATCCCTGCTAACCTGGCCCGGTGTATGACCATAGCCACCCAGCTGCCACTGTCTCAGCACCGAGGCCGAGTCTGTCCAAGACACTACACGAGGACATCTACACCATTCCGAACCTTCTGACGCTATCACGTCTCGCCGCCGCGCCCTTTGTCGGCTATTTCATACTGCAGGACAACCATGCGTGGGCACTCGGTCTTCTCGCCTACTCCGGAGTAACTGACCTGCTCGATGGATGGATTGCACGCCGCTGGAACCTGACCACAGTCGTGGGCACCATCATCGATCCACTGGCAGACAAGACTCTCATGGCTATATTGACTGTTTCATTGGCCGTGCAAGGCTCGCTACCAGGTATGTCGCCAGCCGTTATTCATGCTGTACTGCAAGGTCTGGGTCTGTTGTCTGACTTGGCGCTCGCTGTCCCAGTCTGGCTTGCCGTCATCATCCTAGGTCGTGATGTCGGCCTAGCTATTGCGGCCATTTATTATCGTTGGGTCTCTTTACCGCCTCCGAAAACATTCACCCGGTACTGGGACTTCTCGCTGCCCTCGGCCGAAGTACACCCCACTGCGATCAGCAAGTACAACACGTTCTTGCAGCTGGCTTTGATCGGTCTCACAACAGCGGCTCCTGTCATTGCCCATGACATCTCGGTGCCCTTGACTGCCATGCAGTGAGCTACCATCCAATGTGACACATCAATGAGCAACGGAGTGGCTAATACTGTTCTCAGGTATATCGTAGCCACCACGACGATTTGGAGTGGCGCAAGCTACATCTACACCAAAGATGCGGTCAAAATATTGAACGCGCCTAAGCCGTGAACACGGCAGTTGCCAGATCTAAGCTCCCGCTTGCTTTCTCGGCCTCAGACAGCCCGTTAGAATGTCTGAAGAAAGCTTTCTCGGGTTCTATTATACGATTGCAAGCCGGGTAAGTTGGCTCGAGGATGCTCCGTGTCCAACAACAGCGCAGACACCAGCATGGTCTAATAATACAAACTGCGCCTGCCGGTTGATGCGGCGCATCTCTAGCAGGATACTGCAAGGCCCAGCCTCAAGGCGTGCCTGACAGCTAATGTATAGTAATGTTATAATACAAGGCAGGGATGACAATGACAAGGCACCCTGCTGGCCTCAGAGACTGTGTTACAGCTATCCTACTCAAGCCTGTGAAAACAATGGCGTGCTTCTGCAGTATCGTCGGGCAAACGAGTGGCATTCAAGCATTCAAGGAAGACTTGAATCTTCTCCTGTAGCTACGCCCTGGCTTTGTGCCAACATAAATCCCCGGTCCGATGTCGAGGTCGACCTGGCTTTACTTTGACGCTGGATAAAGCTAAGAAGGCGAATACAGCCTGAGGGCGTGATGCCCTCGAGCCGTCGAGCTTGGGCGAGTGTTTCTGGTTTTGTTGCCTTGAGAATCTGCTTTTCGTGCATGGCAAGCCCGGCGACCTTGTCGTAATCAAGATTTGCTGGTAGGCGGAGTGATTCATCCCTGGTAAAGTTCCGTCGCTCTGACGTCTGCCTTGCAATCATCGGGGCGTATAAAGCCTCGATTGCAACCCGGGATTTGATTCGCTCAGGGAAATGCTGCACATTTGGCAGCACAGTCGCGATCTCGTCCATGGTGACGTTGGGTAGCCGTAGCATCTCGCAGGCGTCACGACGCTGACTATTTTCCTTCACCAGGAAGCCGTGTCTCATCCACTCCTGTGGTGACTTGACCGCAGACTCCAGAAGAAAGTAGAGTTCATCCACCTGCATCTTTTCGTCTGAGAAAGCCCTCCACCTAGCGTCCGATACGACGCCCCAGTCTCGGCCCTTCGCTGTCAATCGGGAGTCTGCATTGTCGGCCCGCGAAGTAAGTCTATATTCACTCCGCGTAGTGAACATGCGGTAAGGCTCCGACACGCCTTTCGTAACGAGATCATCAATCATAACGCCAATGTATCCGTCGCCTCGGGACAACGAAACGGGCGCCAGGCCCTTTGCTGCTCGGCCCGCGTTGATCCCGGCGATAACGCCTTGGCCTGCAGCTTCTTCATATCCAGTTGTGCCGTTAATCTGTCCGGCAAGGTACAGGCCACTGACTGGCTTTGTTTCCAATGAGGATTTGAGACTGCGTGGATCGATATAGTCATACTCAACGCCGTATCCCACCTGCAACAACTCTGCATTCTCCATACCCTTGATGGACCGGATGATTTGTTCTTGGGCCTCTGGAGGTACAGTCATGGACAGACCGTTGGGATACACGACATCGTTGTCAAACCCTTCAGGCTCAAGCCAGACGATGTGTCGCTCTTTATCGGAAAAGCGCGTAATCTTGGACTCAAGCGACGGACAGTATCTCGGTCCAAGAACGGTCTCCCGGATGTGAATTGTGTTACCAAGGTTTGCGCGAACGATGTCGTGTGTAGCTGCGTTCGTGTAAGTCACATAGCAATCAATTTGCTTGTCGGTGGCCACAGTATCGTTCATGTAGCTGAAAGGCGTGGGCGGTTGTTCGCCCGGCTGAGGCTGAAGTTCAGAGAAATTGATGCTTTTCCCTGAAATCCGAGGAGGAGTGCCCGTCTTCAGTCGGCCCATGCTGAAGCCTGCATCTCTGAGGGACTTGCTAAGCCCAGTTGTTGCCGCCTCCCCTATCCTCCCGGCTGGGTAGCTTTCCATTCCAATATGGATTTCACCACTAAGGAAAGTGCCGGTCGTAATGATCACCTGCGTCGTAGGTAGGATTTCGCCCGAATCAAGCTTGACACCGGTGATGCGGCTGTGCGCCCCTGTCGTCGGGTCTTCCTGGGAACAAAGTACTACATCGGAGACGCTGCCTACAATGATCGACAGGTTGGGATACCCTTCGAGCTCCTCCCTCATGTGCTTCTTGTAAAGGTCTCGGTCGATCTGCGCGCGGGGTCCCTAGGCAAAAGATTAGCTGCGGTCGATCCACGGGCTCTTGAAGAGACATCTAGTACTCACCCATACAGCAGGGCCCTTTCTTCGATTCAACGTCTGAAAGTGTATGCCGGCCTTGTCGATAACCCGACCTGCCAACCCATCGAGGGCATCGAGCTCGCGGATGATCACACCTTTTCCTATTCCGCCAAAGCTGGGGTTGCAAGAACACGTGCCCAAGTTGTCAATCTTCGGTGTGACGAGGGCGGTCTTTGCGCCGGCGCGCGCCGCTGCGGCGCAAGCCTCGGCGCCAGCATGGCCGCCTCCGACAACTACCACATCGAAAGGTCTAAGGCCGGAGGCAACTGAGGCAAACTGTCGGCCGCGGCTCGTTGGCAGGGCGAAGATGCGATGTCGGGCGCTGCGAATGTTGTGATGCAGATTCCACAGCTGTTTCGAAGATCTTCCAGGGAGCATCGGGGCGATTGAGGTCGTTGCAGCCTGCACAGATCTAGGGGCAATCAGTGAACATGGAGAGAAAGAATACTTTTGGTCGCATCGCCACAGACCGAAGGATCAAGGATCAGTTGCGTGTGAATACAAATTATTCGCACGGTCATCGCACCAACTCCATGTGGCACGGTAGTGCCCTTTCGGGGTTCAAGTCTGACCTTGAATGCCTGTTCTCGAAGACTTCACAGAATCAAGTATGATCTATTGCAAAAAAGCTTTCCCATTATAGACCCTAGAGAATAGCATTAACTAAAGATCGACGGAGGAAAAGCGAGCCACCTAAAGGCAGCATGGAATGGATCCTTCCATGTCATTATTAACGTAGAGGGCCATTCTTCGTCGCTGCCGGCCACATTGAGACAGCATCTTCAACTTCCTCCAGGAAGGTGGCAGTATTGTGGATCGTGGTGCCTCCCAAGACGACCCTGACGCCAGGAGATGATGCATTAATTGTAGCGATCATCTTGGCCTCTTCGTACGTTGCACCTCCAATCATGAACACGATAATGTCTTGGGGTTTGTCCCGTGTGGTACCCCCGCCCTCTACGAATGGATATTGCTGGTCTTTCAGTTTACCCTTGATCAGGTTTTGTAACGTATTTTCCAGGAGGGGCGTGTGCTGGGTGTAGACGTTTTCAACGCCTTTCAGCCCCTTGAGTCTATCCCTTGCACCTGAGAAGATGCCTGCTGATTCGAAGAGATCTGTGATACCAGTCTGGGTGTGCGACTGCTGAAGCGACGAGTGGTATGCTAATACTTTCCTCACTCTGTCGGCGTGACGTGGGGACACATCGCCTGCAGCAACCAGAAGGTCAATCAACATTGGAAGTGCATTCGATGGGTTCTTTTCGTATCTCAGAGCGTAGAGAGCGACCAATGAAACCTTGTTCTGGGCGTTCACACTGGACGATTGGATCAGATTCTGAACGGTCTGTTGTGCGCAGTCAGCGGCCCGAAGAAGAAGACAATGCATAGAACCTTGTATTGGAGGGGACGTCAGTATGGGGGGCGTGGTACCTTGAGGTCGGTTGCATGGTTATCACTGCACGCCAGGCTCTGTTCTAATTCGCTGACTTCAAGCAGATTCTCTGCGCCGACGCGACGACTCAGCTCAGAGACGAGGGTGACGTGTTTGCTCACGTTTCCGGAGAGCTTGCGGAATTCCGGATATTCCTCGATGAACCGCTTCATGTCGGATATAGACTCGATGTTGGCGTTGTTCTGTGTCTTGGACTGGTACTGTCCAACGTAATCCTTGATGTTCCCACCAAGGTCGCCGAAGTTCATGTACATATTCTTCTTAAAGAAGGGATCTTGGTCCTGTGACAGAACGATCTCCTTCAATTCTGGCCGGATGTCAGGCACGTCGTTCAGGTCGACACGGCCATTGTTGATGCCGAGTAGATGGTGAACCATTGCTTGATATGTCCATTGGGTCAGCAGGGGAGTTATCGGGTCCTCCCGTCGATCAAGCACAAGTAACACAGGTGGTGTATCGACTTTGCGGAAGTCAAATAATTGCTCTTCCTGGGTCATGTGGTATCGCACTTCAGTTGCCAGCTTTCTCGCCGCGAGGCTGTTTTTCGCGTATCGAATCAACGGTTTCTTTTTGAGTGCCAGCAAGACGGCGATGAGACCCGCCGCACTCTTCTGGAGAGCCTCGGGGTTCCAGGCATCTGCGGCGGCTGACCAGGTTCGCTGTTGTGGAAGAGCGATGCCAAGAGAGAACAGGTCAGGGTTGATGACGATAAAGTCGGCGAAGTGCTCCTGGACAAGCCGTACCACTTCATGATCATCGGCCTCGGCCAGTCGTTCGAGAGATGATTTTTTGACGACATTCGTGAAGTAGAGGAGATACTCTCCGTATTTTGGTTCGCGTAATTCATCGATCAGGAGCTGAATAGATTCGGGTGACGGTCTGACGAGGCAGAGGCACCTCAGATGACGCATTTTCTCCCTGTTGGTGTTGTCCAGACGATCGATGAGATAGACCTCGTGATTCAGTAATGTCGATTGAGTAACAGCTGTTGACACAATGGGCACCGTTTCCCTGTCTAATAGAAGGACTTTCATTTTGGCAGATTGGCTAGCGTGAGAGCCTTCGCCAGATGAGATGATGCGGGACACGTAAGTGCCAACCGCTTGTGCAACGTCCATGCCGACGAAGGGCAGACGACGATGGCGCACAGCAGCGAAAGTTCGTTCCCCAAATGTCTGCTGGTAAGGCGCCGGGTGTGTGCCTGGGAGGTGCGCTGAATTACAACAGGAAGCCTCTATGACTGAACTCGAAGCTTCAAGGCAGGGTGGTCGGGAGTTGACATTCCGATGCTCAATCGCTCAGCGTTTCGAATAAGGTGAGTGATGGGAATGATTACGGGATAGCTTAGCGGATGTATTCGTTCGGGAAGACGTTCGATCCACAATCGCGACTGAGTAGGCTTGCGTCTTGGGGTGTGAACTTGACTACGTGGTTGATGAGTTGGGTTCGTTGGCTCACTGGGAGGTGTTAGATGACGAGTGGCTCGTACTGACGGACCAACACAAGCAAGCACAAGCTAACAAGCCTCACACGAGCCGACGGGATCCCACTTATCTAGGTACCTAGGTAAGTACCGTACAAGGCACCTTATGTACCTAAGGTAGGTACGTCGTGGAGGTACTCAGGTGCTTACTATGCCCCCAATCAGGAGCCTAGATTCATTCTCCGCTGCTTCTCAAAAGCCCTCAACTTACCATTAGTCATCCAGCGCATTGAATGTGTCTACCATCAAAATGAGTGTCCACCTCAAGTGCCTACCTACCTAAGGTAGAATGACACCATCAACCCAGTCCTGTGCTAACGAGCCGCAAAATAGTGTCCGAAGCCCTGCGACATGGTTGATTTTCGCTGTCGAAATACAGTTGGTACGGAAAATATACTAGTCCCTTGTGTTCATGTCACACCTGTCTTGATACCCTCACAACCCCAAGAACACAGCAAAAGTCCATCTACACATAAAACCCGCCGAAAACAAGGGCAAAGAATTGCCCAGGCGTCCGGGCCAAGCGGCGGCCTGTGAAAGTCAAACCGAGGCTTCCAGTCAATCAACAAGCAACAAAATGGCCGACAAAACCTGCCCCGCCACGAGTGAACCGACGTGAGTGTACCTGTCCTCTCTCCTGGTTCTGTTGAACTGACAGGCCCGGATCGAAGCTTGTCTTTCGCGCAAGGTCTCGTGTTAGGCCAGCTGTCTGTCGTGCTCGTGCTCGCAGCCTTCATCAAGTTTTTCATCTTCGGGGACCCGCCATCCCCCGAAGTCACAGCTTCACTGCGAGCCACTGAGCGGCGGTCAAAGACGCTTGCTCATAAGAAGTCCCTCGTGGGTCTCCGGGCCGCCACTGGCCGTCCCGGCCAGCCATCATTGAACAAGAAGAAGTCAAGTGTCCTGAGGAGCCCATATAACCTAACCATCGGGTCCATCCTGAGCAAGACATACTACAATGTCGACAGTCACCAGCCTGAGAGCTTGGATTGGTTCAATGTGCTCGTAGCTCAGACCATTGCCCAGTTCAGGAGCGATGCGCAGCACGACGACGCCATTCTCAGTTCCTTAACCAAGGCTTTGAATGGGACATCACGGCCCGACTTTGTCGACGAGATTCGTGTCACAAAACTCAGCCTCGGCGAAGACTTTCCTATTTTCAGCAATTGTCGCATTATACCTGTGGACGAGGACGGTCTGAGTCTAGGCAACAGCAAGACGATCGATGCCAGTGCCGCCACTAGGGAAGGGGCCAAGCTGCAGGCCCGGATGGACGTCGATCTCAGTGATCTACTGACCCTGGCTTTGGAGACTAAGCTGCTGCTTAATTATCCTAAGAAACTAAGCGCAGTGCTGCCAGTTGCGCTGACCGTCTCCGTCAGACGCTTCAGCGGAACACTGTCGGTCTCCTTCATCCCCAGTAACCCATCTCAGTCTACACCGACCATGATGACCTTCAACTTTCTTGACGATTACCGACTTGATTTTTCTATTGGGAGCTTGCTCGGGAGCCGGTCCAAACTAGAGGACGTGCCAAAAATTGCGCAGCTCATCGAGGCCCGCTTACACCGTTGGTTTGACGAGCGATGTGTCGAGCCCCGATTTCAAGAGATTGCACTGCCAAGCTTGTGGCCTCGAAAGAAAAACACGAGGGGTCCTGACGATGGAATGGCAGAGGGAAACATCGGGTCTGTAGGGAGATCCAAGGGTCGGGACGTGGGCCAGGACATCCGAGCAGAGGCTCGCAAAGAGGTTGAGGCTGAAGCTAGCAGTCGTACGGACCGAGCACAAGAGTCGCTTCGGCGACGGAGGTTGAGAAGCGAAGATGAGCTCATCATGCCGGGTTCTCTGCCAGACTTTGTGCAGTAATAAACTCCCGCCAAAGAAACAAACGAAAGCGTGCACACGAATAGCGCAGATAGGCCGTGATTAACCTGCAGACACCATCGCTGCATACCTACCAGGCCATGTCCACCACGCTTCTTGAACTCGCCGTCAAGGTCATGAGGTTCGACCACCAGGCCCAGGCCCCAGCCAATAACATGAGGTAGTACAGCGCGGACCAGAGGCGACGGGCATTGGTCGCTCGCGCGTCATCGTGTGAAATCCAGTATGGATCGACAACGCCCCAGAAGCGCGGGAGACCCATGGCATTGCAGAAAGCATGGACGAGGGTGGCAGCAAGGAGGCTGCCTGTGCGGAGGAACAGGAATGTGGCGTAGGCACCGAATAAGGTTGTGTACGAAAACTGCAGAACAGTGCGGGCAATGGCCACGGGCAGAGGCACGCGAGGATGGGTGATACGAAACTCGTAGAAGTGGTGAATGTGGGCCATGCCGAAGATGATTGGGGACAGAAAAATCGTCTTGTAGATAGAAAGATGGGCTGCAAGGAAGAGTGGTATGGACGCTGACCGAAAAAGCAGCTCCTCTGTGGCGGGGCCCTATGAAGCATCAGCTGTTTGATGTAACTTAATGGAAGAAGGATGAGCGAAGCGCGCGCCCGGTAAAGGAGGGCATACAATGACAATGTTGCGCCATGTAGTCCAGGATTGCCAGATGTCCATGATGGCGCGTGTGCTCACCAAGTCCTTCCAGGCACCGTCAAGTACGAGCGTTTCGAACAACGGTGCGCTGAAGAGAATGGCAGTCAAGAGTACCGAGCTGGCGGCTTCTGTGACCCCCAGTGGCCAGTAGCCCATGGCGTGAAGCGGGTCTATGGCGAGAGCATAGTTGCGGTGCAAGATGATGCAAGTGCAAAAGGAACACAGGGCAGTCGAGCACAGAACAGATCTGATGCGAGCGCGGATAACGCGGGGATCATCTCGCAGCAGCTCAGGCGATGGGCGCGTGTCTGATGAGGCATACAGAGGCAACACGTATGCCAGAGTGTATGCAAGCTACGGTGAGGACATGGTTAGCCGCAGTCTCTCGGTGCCATCAAGAAGCTAAACACGCAAACAACAGAGACACACAAGGAGCGCGAAAGCGGTCGTGGGATAAAGCACAGCGTCTGTAGTCGACATTTCGACTTTGGCCTCGGCTTCAAATGCAGTAGCGCGCTTTGCGAAGAGTGTAGAGAGGAGCAGAGCGGACGGCAAAGGCAACAATAAGTGCGGCCAGGTCATGTGTTCGTGGAATCGGTACTCGAGGTGGAAAACGCGGCAAGAGACCTGGAGTTTTTGTTTCGTGAGCACTGCAAATCGGTGCGGGTGAGGAGGGGTTCCCGCTATGTGTAGTCGAGCTCTTCCTTTGTGACATTTGAGTCGGGGCTCGCGATGATCCGTTTGCCTGGGACAATGCCTTGAAGTATTGGCTGTCGTGACGGCGAACAAAGATGGCTCAGTTCCCTCCCAAGTCAGAGACGACGACATCCGAATAAACACATAACCCGCGTAACGTCATATATGTGGACTTGCCGACGACGAAGCAGGTACTGGGATGACCCCGCTTGATAATATTGGCCAATCTGGCTCGCGAGGAACCCATCTCATAAAAGGCCTGCCAGCACACTCATGCTTGAAGGATGAGCCCGGTTATCGAGGGGCTGCCATCTCATCTCGTCATCGGACAAGTGCTTCGAAACAATCAAGGTATCACAAGCTGTTCCCTGCGACGGCCAGCTTAGCCTCTCTTCATCAGCCGCGCCAGACCTTTGTGCTGGGCCTGATGCCAGGGCGGGCAGGCTGGGTCTTGGGAGACCCCGCGCCTAATAAGGACGAGAGCAGTGGTCTTGGTTCATCATAGCTCCTGTCATGCGGGTTGATACGAAGCAGCATGACCGATGCATTGGTTGGGTAGCATTTTGTCATCGATCAAGCGGCAAGCTGTTTGACAAACCCCCCTCGCCGCCTCCGTCTTTCTTCCTCCCACCTTTCTTTTCACGGGATTTGCGGATCCCGTCGTGGCAGAGCAAAGGGAGCTCTGGCTGTCTCCTTGCAGCCGTAATCTGACGTCGGCATCTAGGCACAACCCGCACAGAGCCTGTTGTCTTTGGAGCCAGAAAAAAACATTGACCAAGAGACGCGACACGAACCCGACGCGCTGGCTTACCTCCATTGAGGCTCGAAGCGATTGGTTGATTTGTCCACTCAATACAAGCTAGGTACTCGCTGCGAGGTTCAGGGGGTGGGACCTCCCCCGTCTCCAGTCTATACCCACCCGCCCACTTGTCTTTGCTGCTGGAAAGACACACATGCGGTCCGCAATCTCGGTGTTTTTACCATTGTCCAATACTGGAGCTATTGAGTGCACAGCTCCTCGCGCACTGATTCTCCTGAAGCCAGCAGGTGCCCCGGCTCGATTGCGCTTGCGCGTGCCAATCAAATGACGTTTGAAGGCGAGTTCGACTGGCCGGCTGGCGCCTCCACTACTTGCCCCCCCCCCTGGAACCAGACCAAGAACCAAAGCCAGAACCGGGCCTGACCGCCTGTCTGTTCGGCGGGGCGGGGTGGGACGAGCAGGCTTGAGGAGTGAGAATTCGACTTTTGAAAGCTGGCTCCAGATGCCGTTGGCCGTGGCGTACGAAGAGTCTGGGTACCTGCATTGTGGATTCGAACTAGCAGCAACCAAGGCCACCCAGTTCAAGCGCGCGCCGGCACCCCCAGGATTCGAGATGTGTCGTGGACCAATCAATATCCGGCGACCCAAGCCAGTCATAACAGAACACACATATGGTCAACCAAGTACGCGCGAATGGGCGATAGGTCACTGGACTCGCACAAACCAAGCTCGAGGGCACCTGTGTGGGAAGAGCAGGCGCAGGCGGCAGGGCGAGATGGGGCACAGGCAAGAATTGTCTGGCAAAGAGGGTGGTAGACACGGGATGGGGCGTACCTGCCTCGCCGCCGAAAGAGCCCTGCAGCAACCACATGCAGGTCTACCTTAGCTGCAGCTGCAGCTCTTCGCCCACCTCGTCTTGTCACCAAGGTCCAATTTCCTCCACGGCTTCCCTGTTTCTTCTCTAAGATGCTATCCTACCCACCTCCCCATCTTATTCACACTCTTCCTCCTCTCTCGCGACCACTCCTTCCACTTCTCCTTCTCCCCTGTTCTATACATGTATTTCGCGTCCGGATGCCATCGCACCATCATGGCGTGCTGTTGACCTGATATCGGTTCCTCACCACCAGCAGGCATAGTTCCCCAACTACCGGCTGGCTGACTGCTGGTTGTTGCACCTTCGTCTCGCCAGCCGCCTCACACTCCTTCGTCGCTTCGACCTTGTCACTTGTCGTTTCGTCATACAGCGCTGCCTTCTTCCGTCCTTTAATTATCTATCTGTTATAATCGTTGGCCTCTATTTCCACCCCAGCACTGTCATCCTGCAAGATTCACCGTCGGAGTCTTGTCGACATACACACATACTCTCTCTCTCTCTCATTCACTCGCTCTCATGCCTGTCGATGGAATACCGCTCACATCCAGCTGCTACACCCATCTCATCATGTTGAGTGTTCGTGTCCTTCACTGCAGCCATACCTACCAGCTCATTGAAAGCACCACTCACACCCACGCCAATCTTTCCCCCCTATTTTCTTTCACCAGCTCAGCGTCGACTCTACGAAGCATCATTCCACCAAGGACTCGCAGCGCAGCCCGCCGCCAGGGCTTGTGCCGAGCATGTCCTCTGCTTCGCCACCGTCACCGCGAAGACCTCTGCATCAGCGTAGCGAATCGCAGAACAACAGGCTCGCTATTCGTATAGTACCTTACAGCCCGCCGCGACCCGTCAGTGTACAGGTTGATACGCCAATTGTTAGCAACGATCACACCAGTCGCGAAATTCAAAAGTCACCGATCGACCGTCGTCAATATGGCACCGACCGACTGCCGTCAACGTCCTCCACGTTGAGATCTTCTCATACCTCCACGGTTCGATTGGTTCCCGCCATCGACAATCGTGTTTCAGCCTCGAAACGAGCAGATGGAGCAGAACCGTCTGCAGCACCTCATCGCCAAAGCCAGAGTATGAGCACGGCCTCGCGCAAACCGACCACCCCTACCAGCCCGGTCCCTGACGCTTCTCACACACCATCCCCTGCGCCAACCAATTCATCGCACATTTCCCTTATTCATGCATCGGCCCAACGCACAGAAAGCCAAGCCGCCTTCAGACCAGTTTCTTCATCTCGCGCCCCATCGCGCCGTCGCCATCGCATCAATGTCCATTCTGACACCAAAACTTTCTCTCTCGAGCCGCAGAGCGACTCAATCCCGCCTTCGGTATCCCTGTCCCTGTCGCTGTCCGCCTCGAGCTCATTTGAACGACTGTCATCCGCCTTCTCCGGCGAAGGTCGTCCTAGCTCACCCATGACCACGTTGCCTGACCGAAGCTTCTCCCCCTGCACCCCAACCTCCTCCACTGTGCAATTAAGTGAGGACCCGATAGCCGATTCCGCCTCGTCTCCTTGGAATTATCAGCTCGTCGGGGGCCTTCGCAAGGTCTCCAAAACCCCCGATCCAGCCCCAAAACAGACCCTGCGTCCACTTTCGTCTGATAATCCGCTTCCTACACTGCTCGAGGCGACAGCAGCTGCCGAACGAGAACGAGACTTGCACTCCCTGCTCAACAAGTCTTCAGAGCTGTCCTTTGGGTCCTTGCAATCGGCTTCCACAGACTCGGAAACAACAAATTACAAGGTCTATAACGCTCGCCAGCCCGTCGCGCCTGAGGCGCATCCTGACACGGATAGCTTGATCCCCCCCTCCACCAGTGACTCGAATTACGAGGTCCTCGACCGCTCATCGCCGTGTTGGCCGACATTAAATCATTCAAGTCCACCCAAGACCGCAAGCAGCGACAATAACTACGTGGTCCACGGCGATCCTTCATCCTCATCGCCTCTCGCCCCGCGCTCCGCCTACTCTCATGAGAGTCTGATTGTACCGCCACTAAGGCCGGGCCGAAAGAACTCAATTGAAAGATTCGGCCTATACAAGACCAGATCAAAAGACTCCTTGACCGCCGGCTCATTAACATCGATCAGTAGCATCATTGCGCAAGAAGCGATCCAGACCTTTTTTGCGATACCCATCGCGCTACAGCGCCCGCGGGGCTCTTCTGGCGTCCCGAGCCGTCACTCGGATTCATGGGATACAGGTACTTCGGTTACCGGCCCCTCTAGATCACACATGGCATCTCATCCGCATGTATGGAGCTCACAGCTGTCAACTGTCATTTCAGAGAGTGAAGGCGGAAGTGAGCCTGTGTCGCGCTCCGTCTCTGCCTTATCAGGGCCGGCTCGGCGCAATAGTGGTTTTTACAGCAACCACAGCCGCCAAATGCTGAGCATTTCTTCGTCCTTAGCTGCACATGATCAGCACACGTCCGGCTCTCAGTCTCTGACAGATTCTCTTGAGAGGCCACAGCCTTCGCACTGCCGCGGTGGAACCGTCCGCCTAGTCCGGGATCAAGACGAGCACGGCGATGGCCTGGCGGATCTGCATGAGCTACATCAGCGGCCATCGAGAAGACGTCTGTCGAGTTTCATGTCTAGCACTTCGTCATCGGATCGTAACATTCATTCATCTGGTAGTTCTCAAGCTAACAGCATGACGAACGCTTCGCTGCCTACTTGGGCCAGGTTATATTACGGCAGCGGCGAACGAAGATGGCTGAGACATGGTGTTTCGTCCGAGTCCATGACCACGGATTACAACGACAGCGGCAGGTCTCGCGGCTCTTTCCGAAGCGGCTCACCAAGTATCGACAACCTTTCATTGAATTTACGCAGCCCGCGCCGCAGACCTCGCGAAGTTCAGCCCTCTGGCCGGGCGCGCCGTATGTCAGACACGGGCTCGATGGAGATCACGTCCGCTCCAGTAATTGGTTTCCACCCGCGATCTAGCTTGCGAAAGCAGACGTCCAGTATTTGGTCACCTCACTTGGGCCGCGATCAACGTGCCAGTGGCTACAGTATCTGGGAGCCGCCATCTGTGAGCTGGTCAGTCGACAGCAGCCCCTTTGGGCGGCGCAATGTACAAGTTGTCATGTTCATATTAGGTTTCATCCTACCTATTGGTAAGTTAGGTTGATTGTGTGTTCTTGCATGTACCAGTCACTGACAATGCAATAGCATGGATGGTGGCAGCTTTCTTGCCGTTGCCGCCACTCCCGTACACAGAAATGGTCGAGCGTGCACCAGACGATTCCAGTATGCTCGATATTGAAATGGAGTCGGCACGGCCCCCAACCCACATGGACGAGATATGTTATCGAAGCGCCCGATGGTGGAGGAACCTCAACCGCATCATGGCACTTGTCGGTGTCTTGATCGTGGCTGTGATCGTTACACTGGCTGTTGTTGGGGCCAAACACGGTTGGGGACACCCTGCAAGCTGAACGGCCACCACTCTACCTGAATGGCTCATGAGTTACCTCGACATTGACTGCAGAACGATCAACCCAGTCAAGGTCTCTTGCCCTTGCTGCCATCAACCTTTTGGGACATTCTTACTTGATTTGATACCTGATACTCCCACTCTTTCTCTCTCTCTCTCTTGTTTTTTACCCTTCTATAGACGACATTACGACGATCCAAACACCAGGCGCATTACGAAGCCATTATGACTATACGGCAATACGGCACATGCACACACAGTCGCGCGATATGCTCGACATTTTCCTTTTCTAATCTGAACGCAGACATGTTCGATTTACGCTGTCATGTCCACTGCAAGGAGATCATTATATCTCATCTGCTACGCTGTCCATTGGATGATGGGCTGTCACATACAGCCGTGTATATCTATTCGGTCTATTTCCTCGATTCGAGCATGTATCATAGTACTCTATACCATATATCATACGACACAAAGTGGAACGACCGCATACAAACTTCAGCCAATCATTAATCTAGCGATGGACCTCGCGCGGGTGGTTGGCAAAGGCGGAAGGGACGAGATTTATAATGGTGATGCGGTGGAAAGAAGAATATCTATTCTGCAATGTATATACTCGACAACCTCATCATAAACCTGACACGCCAGCCATACTCTTCATAACGTCTTGTCTGCACTGCTCCTAACCGGGTGTCATAATAAGAAATCAATCAAGCCGCAAGCGTGGTTTTTATGCTTTGTGGTGCCTGGTTTTCACTCGGTGACGAGCCTCCACCTCAGCTCTGATCTCTTGGACTGCCTCATCCAACTCCCTTTCTGGATCCGCCGCCACACCGAGGACTGGTTCGCGCCCAACGAGGCTATCGGAGCTTAAGGTACGGCCAAGCTGGATGCCTGGCCGCCGCTGGCGACTTTCTAACCCTTGCTTCAAGATCTGCTTCCCCGGAGACGCGAAGAAGCCCATCGAGACGGCCACGCCCACGATGGCAAAGAAGTAAACTCGCGACCAGACCAAGACGGATCCGGAAAAGCTAAGAATGAGGAAAGGAGCAACGGCAAATGACATCACCACCTGCGTAGTGAGAAAAGATAGCACGTCGTAATACTTCTTCTTGCGGTTCGGCAGACCGGAGTCTGGGTCGAGGAAGAAAGGGCGGACGTAGCGGCGAAAGTCTCATTTGTTAGCGGGTTGGTTGGTCCATGGGGGAATATCTTGATCTGGACTTACTTTTGGCCACGGTTTGGATGAGGCTTGCCAGAATAAATGTCATATAATAGCCGGGATAGAAGCCGTGCCAAAGCGCACTGGTTCCAAATGTCATGAGACTAGCTCGGAATCCGGGCTTCTTCCCTCGGGGTGTAACACGGAGGTATACATAGTTCCGGAGCCACTTGTTGGTATTCATATTCCAGCTGCCGAGGTACCCGCGTACATTCTGGGCCAACTCGACGCCTCTGGGGTCAATGTTCTGTAGCCTGTTCCACGAGACTCTGCCGGTGATGGGGTCGACACCATTGTATCCGAGCCCAGTGAGGATGCATGCACCTTCAGCCAGGGACCATGCTCCATAGTACTTCATCCTTGCGGTCAACCCGACGCAGTATAAGATCCACACGCGGCGGATGAAGCCGTGCTCAAGCAAGGCCGGGTGAGTTAGCCTTGAAGGGCTGAAGGAACCGGACATGAATACGAAGAAAGCAATCCACATGAGACCAGATGCTGCTTTCCACGCCGCTGGAGTTCCACTGCGAGGGACTTTGCGTTGCCTTCTCACCGGTGGCTTTTTTGAAGCTTCCAGATTGGGCGGTAGATCAAACATGGAAGTGTCCAGCCACCGGCGATACTCGACGTATTCGAACGTAGGACCACCAAAGAGTGAAGGGAAAAACATGACATAACCGGCGTACTCCAGCAGGGGTGGAAGCTCTACCAGCTTCCTATCCTTCTGAAAATCGGACAAGTGGTCGCTAGGAAGCTGACCATCTGCCACGTTCCAGCAGAACGCGCTGAGCTTCATGACCAGTACCATCTGCGCACCAGTAATGTCGACGTCGGCCGGATTACTTTCTAGCTGTCGACTGATCTGGTTGATGGACAAGTGCCCCATCACGAAGACAAAGCCGATCCATGGCATGAAAGGACTGTGGCGAAACGTATTGGCAATGAGATATGTCCCAGCGGAACTAATGAAAAGAGTTTGCAAACCAGCCCAGAGATTGAAGAGGCCAACAAGATAGAATATCGACGCGCTAGTGAGAGATGTCAGACAACGATGCTGTGCAAGGGCTGTGAGAACGTACCTTATCACGTAAATATTCTTAAGGTCAGGTCGAGAATCAGGAATGCACTTGAGAAGAGCAGCCAGTGGATACGAGAGTAGCCATGAAAACACGAGCTTGACTGGTGGTAACGCATGGTCAGAAACTGTGTTTAGGGTCAGGGTGGCAGTGTACGAGGTCATCTTACTGTCGTCTGTAGGCACGCCAAGTCCTGGGGACAGGAGCTCGAAGGCTGAAAGGCAACACGTCAGCAATCTTTCCAAGGTTGGTCGGGACTTGCTCATGTTACGCTTGTTTATTAGGGGCAGCATCTTGGGCAACTGCTGGGCTCTTTGAGCTGAGTGAGGGAAGCTTGAAATACACTTGCGAAGCTGGCGTATTTCCGTGAACCCAAAGCACGAGTGTTATCGCAGAAGGAATGTAAAGTCGGGCTCAGCCATATCCTTAGGCATGGTCTAGACGGTGTTTGTTGCGACTGGCGGGCTTGGAGGAGTATGATCAGGTTAATTTTACTGTCTATTTGGGGTCAAGACCTAGGCTGGTCATATGACGTAAGGCCTGGCACGTGTCGCACATGTTGCCCCACGCTATTCAAAACGCGTGATAACTACAGCTAGCTATCGAGGGAAGCAAGGGAAGGTAGGTACCTAGCATTCGCAAGAGAAAACTAATTGTTGAAAAGTCTACATGAAGGTTATGTCTAATAATCAATTGACGAGTCTACTCTCACGCACAACCTCGACATTTGGCGAGAAAGGACCCATTCGTGTGCTCAATACAAACATTCCTTGTTGCCGACGCCATTAACCAGTACCATGAAAGCTCGAGGTACGAGATGCAAACACTACCATGCCTAATCACAAAGCCTGATGGTGGACGATGCTATTCAATGACATTTGGCTTCTTCTGTGCCTTGGTCTATTCGGCCTCGCCAGGATGCGCCCCGAAAGGTTATAGCGAGGTTGTGCCAAAAGACAACCGGCAATGCAACTTTCGTCAGCGAAAAGATCGCGACGCAGAGTTCGATACCAACTCATGAGTTTGCGGCATCGTTGTTGCTCCTGGAACTGGCACTCATCGGCTGCGTGGTAGGTAGCGACATCTTCGATGCTGCCGTCTGCCGAACTCTCGCCCACGCGTATACGATACCACTGACAAAACCAAGGAAAATGGCCGTTACGCTGCCAAATGTGACCGGAGCGGAAAAGAAAACCAGGCCACTAACGGCAATTGGTAGCTTGTTGAGCGCTCCCACCATTGAGTATGTCGTGGATGACGTTACTCTGATACACCAAGCAGAACAGTACGAGATGAAGATGGCGCATAGTCCCGAGTAGATCATGCCAATGAAGAGGCCGTTACGTGTCGCGGGCGGGAAGTTCTTCGTTAGATTTTCCGACGACCAGTCTTCTAGAAGCAGGGAGCAGACAATGAGCACCGGGATCGTAAGAAGATTGTTGTAGAACATGGCTGGTTTTGCATCTGTCAGCACAGCAAACCAATAACCACGCTCAAGCTCAAAACTTACTGTCCCAGTCTTTGAAGTTCATCTTCTTGATTACTTTGCGCATTCCCAAAACATAGGCAGCAGTACAGAACACGTTGAACCCCATCCAAGCGTACCCTGCGTTAAGAGTTGACATGGCAGCAGACGCATCATGCTCCCCTACTGACCCGTAAATAGCGTGCTGTATGTCAGCCCAGGCTGCCACAACGGAGCTAAGCACCATCAAGCCAAAAGAAAGAAGGGCTAGCGGCGTAACACTGCCACCGAACCACAGAACCTCTCCATACGCAATCACGATGATCGTAAGGTTCTTGAAGATGGTATAAACAGGGACGGAGAGGAATTGAAGTGCCTTTGTGCTGGTATAAATCATGCCAACGAGCAGCAACGATATGGGAAACCCTTTCCAGGTTATCAGCTCTGGTCAATCGCGACTGCAGACAGTGCGCCCACCCGAAACTTGAACTTACATTTCTTGGCCTTCTCCTGGTCGAAGGGAGCCAGGACCCGAATCATTCCCACGTTCTTGCATATTTGTATCGTGGTGACGCAAACGATGGCTTGGACGGCCAAGTAAAAGAAGTTGAGGTTCCAAAACTTGCCCGAGACAACAAACTTGTTGACTACGGTCATGCTAATGGATGAAAAGCAGTACGCCAGGATCGAGGCGCCTGGGCTGTTGTCGACCTTGCTGATCTGCGCCGCCAGTGACTGTTGCTGCGGTCGCCGTGATGGTGATCTCGACAAAAATCCATCTCTTTCGTGGCCTCCAGGACTGCGACTTCCAGCCCGCGAGCCCATGGGCCGCAACTCGAAGTCTTCGTTCTTCTTGTCCATGTTAGCCAAGGGACGTCGAAAAGGCGATCAGGGTTTTTATTCGGCAGCGCAATCGTCTAAGGGTTGAACACCACACTTCGTGAGCGTCCGATGCGTCGGGTTTCAAGGCGTCGTCAATGTGCTTTCGTTTGATGCGGTTCCGGCATGTTTGGGTGACCCCTAACTAATGCATCGAAGCGGACTGCCCCATTAATAAATCCAGACGCGGATTTGATCGGACACGCGTCCTGCCAAAGGGAGGGCCACCTATCGATATCCCTGGAGTGGATCTTCGAGCTATTGTTTGCTTATGTAAGCCTATTACAATGCAGCAGCGCGTTTCTTGCATGTATCGTTGTCGTGTTCGTCTAAGGTACCTAACACAACACACCGCAAGTCGTTTGCGTCGACCTTTATGCCTGTGTTGTCTTCAATACAAACCAGCATCAGCACTAGGTTGGGAGAGGGGCCGCAGATATGATCAACACGATACAGTCCCAGATATGGATTGTTGTTCTGAGAGAACTCCTTTCTTGGCGTGCCAGATCCCATCTCGTGTACACTATGTACTAGATCTTATGTCTCTGCCACTTCCGTGCCCAAGCCTTGTACGGGGTGCCCGTCTCTTGTCTCAGCCTCACCCTCGAATGGCTCAGGGGCAATTGGGAAGTTGAGATGCTTCCAGTCTTCCAGCTCCTCCGTGACTGAGCGAAGTCGGTCTCTGATACTCTCTATAGCATAGCTCCCCAGCAACAACCGAAGAGGTGGGTACGAGCAATGAGCCAGCTGCCAGACGAGCTCGGCGCACTTTACAGCGCTGGTGGGTTGCTTATCCCCCAGCCATTGAAACATCCTCTTTGCGTGCAGGGCTGGCGAGTTTGCAGACACGTAGGGTTCGCTAGCTGCTTTGATGCGGAAATGACCCCAGGTAGGCAAAGGATTCACCGTAGAGTCGGGTTCGTCCCGTCGGACCAAGCCAGGCTCGACTAATGTTGCCTTGACATTGATCGAGTCGGTTTCGTACAGCATGGCCTCGACCAAGCCCTCGACAGCGTACTTCGTTGCGCAGTACGGACCGAGTCCTGGTACACCCAACGCCCCAGACGTTGAGCTGAAGATTAAGTATCGCCCTCCCTGCTGCTTTCTAAAGTACGGTAGGCTTGCCTGGATAATGTTGAGCGTACCCATAAGGTTAGTCTCAAACTGATTGCGAAGGTCGTGCTCATCTTGATCCTCGCAGGCACCGATAACACCGTAGCCCGAGCAATTGGCGATCACGTCAACTCGACCGAAGCGATCCAGAACCATCTTGACTGCTCGTTCCACAGAATCTGCTGACCTCACATCGCATAAAGTCCCCAGAAAGTTGTCGCTGTCTGCTGCCTCGCTCATGGCCTCGACATTCGTTTCGAAAAGCCTCCCCACCGAGACTACAAGATCTCCGCGGGACAGAGCACATTTGACAAGGGATCGGCCCATGTGGCCAGTCCCCCCAAACACCTAAGGGCAAGAATCATGTTAGTGTCTCGAGAGTTTAACGAGAACGGGTAGCTACCCTGCTAAACTTGATGGAGAGGGTAGGTGAACGCACAGCCCAGACAAGTTGTCTTCCGGGCCGATCTAGCGGCGGGGGATCGCAGCTTGCCGGGAGGTTGAGCCTAGCAGCACAAGAACCATCGGCAACTGGAGTCGTGCTGTATTCCTTCGCTCTGGGACGATCGGGAGAGGCATCAGCACGCATGTTCAGGCAAGTATATATTTGAAGCCTAAAAGATGTGGTTGGGTCTCCAGAGCATCCGAGTGGTGCGCATGACGGGCAAGTGAAGAATGGGCAGCAAAGCGGCATGTGGGGGCTCGTTCCGGTTTGGGGAAAGCTGTCGACATGAAGCTACTACTCTCTGGTAGCAACGAGGCTGCTGCGCTTTGTAGCATAACACACCACCATCATTGCATATACGTGTGCTGCTTAACACTGGCAGCAATTAACCCACACCAATTTTCTAGCTGAGCGTCGTATTTCCATCCATTTAAGTCAGGATGACTCGTGTCTGCCCAGACGTTACCGACAAGCCCACAGACATCTGTTTCTTGCTGCCTCCTGCCCTCCCCCCACCAAAAACAAACAAGCTGTGTCAGGCATACGTGTTTGACATACGAGCCACTCGGGCAGTTCAGTTGCCATAACGGAATACAATTGTACATCTTGAAAGGTGATGCACCGGTTCGCGTCTCACCCGTCTTCCCCGCTCCTTTGAGGTCAGCTGGTTTCTGCAGGAATAAAGAGGACGCCACCGGCAGGACACGTCAACCACGAGGTCGAGGTACTACTTTGTAATACGAAGTCGTTCTGCCAAACGCTGTTGATACTGCGTGCCTGCGTACGTAGGCAGAGCTAGGCAGAGCAAGGAACTGCCAGCGAAGGACAGGCCTACTACGTCCCCTTGCCTGAAGTCGAATCTCGAAACAGCACGGGTCCATCAAAGGCCAGCCAGACAGTTGGACCCCTGGGCACTGACTGGCCCGCCTTCCCCCCAACTTCAAGGGTGATAGCACTCCACCGTCAGCGTTTCATCCACCTCACCAACAAAACCCCAACGCCAGCGATTTCTCCCCTGGCCATCTCCATCATTGGCATCTCCTCCAGTTTTGTCCTTCGGATCGCCCAATATGTCTGGCAGTCACGCTGTTGGAAACCGGAACAGCACTCCTGAAGCCAACACCGCATCCTCTCTCCGACCTCCATCCTCACGAACGGTAGGGGCCGGCCATCACTTACGAGCCTCTGCCGACATGGCTGCTCTCTCCGGATCTTCTCCGTCAAACCGGATTCGCCCCTCGTCCGATTTCTACGGGCAGTCCCAACAGGGGCAGGGACAGAACAACCAAGAAGGGGACGCCCAGGACAAGATTGCCCAACAGTGGATCGCTGACATCGATCAATATGAGACAACGCTCGAGGACATGGCTGCAGCTACACTCGACCAGGACTTCAAGGATGAACTGAGTGCCATCGAACAATGGTTCCGCGTTTTGAGCGAAGCTGAACGGACTGCTGCGCTCTATGCCCTACTACAGCAAACGACGCAGGTCCAAATCCGGTTCTTCATACAGGTATTGCAACAGATGGGCAAGAGCCACCCTATGTCGGGGGTCTTATCTCCAGCCAACTTTGACAAAGGTGAGCCCGCCACTAGCGAATCCCCCCCCCCTCTCGGTACGGCATTTGATATTGCCTGTCGGTCTCATCTGGGCAGAATCATAACTCTATGTACGTGCTGACCTGGTCACCACAGATCCGATGTCGAATCGCTTGAGTGACGCTATGAACAAGCTCAACGTAGACTCGGCCCGAAACTCCATGGCAAGGCCTGCCAGCACCGCTACGGGCAAGCGTTACTCAGGTCTCGATCCATCGACTATTAACGCTATGTTTCCTGATGCTGCGGCAGCCATAGCCACCGAGAAGGCAAAGTTCACACAACAGACGGGTAACCCCCCTTCTTCGAATCGGAACAGTGCTGTCGGGGATGCTCGCTCGGCACTCGGCGCGCCAACGATTGCAGGCCCTGCAGAGGGTCATGACCAGAACAGTCAGGCTCCCAGTTCTCCGTGGCATTCGGGGGACCAAAGTGCCGCTCGCCCTAAGTCCTCTGCTGGACAACCTCCGATGGGTCAATTTGTACAACCTCCTCCATCAGCTGGTCTCCGGTCCCCTCGCCCGCAACTCATCAGCAACTCAACGATTCAGAACACAACTCTGACGACCTCTGACAAGACTGCCGATCTGCCATTGTTGTCTCCTTACAACACGGGAAGTGGCAACTGGGCTTCAATGGTCAATACGCCAATGGTACCGAATTTCAACACCGCAAACCCGAATGGTTCGGCTCCTGGGGGTTCGCAAGCCGACATGCTCGCAAATGCCACCGCAATGAAGCTTGCTGCACTCTCGACCGTCAACAACCGCTTCGCTCTCGACGACGTACGAAAGTATCGGCGTGCCCGATCGAATGACGCGCCGGGTGGCCCCATGTCGGCCGGTCTGACACCAGGGCAACAAGGCGTCAATATACCTGGCACGAATGTTGTGATGGTCAACGAACATGGCCAGGTCCTGAGTAGGGAGCAGATGTTGGCACTGCAGGCTCAACAGCTTCAACAGGCCCAGCAGCAGAACATCGCCCTTGGTGGTCATCGTTCTCGTCCAAGCTCTCCTGGCTTAGCGATGCAGCAAGCTGGATTCGGCCACATGCCATTCACGTCTCCGCAGAACAACGGCTTCTTGAGCGCTTACGATGGCCAGCCCTCTCTGCTAAACAACGCCATTCCCTCGCTGAACATCGGCCAATTCGGGGTTGGCGGTCATGAGGGATACCTCTCGGATCATTCTGATATGGTCCGAGGACGTTCCCCGCGAGGACGTCGAGGAAGCTCGAAACCACCCGAGGACCCCACCGACCCTACATTGTTGCAAGATATCCCAAGCTGGCTCAGAAGTCTACGGCTCCACAAGTACACTGATAACCTCAAGGACATGAAATGGACTGATTTGATTGAGTTGGATGACAAGGCTTTGGAAGATCGAGGCGTGAACGCCCTGGGAGCGCGAAGAAAGATGCTCAAAGTCTTCGAACAAGTCAAGGGCAAGTTGTTGCGTGATGCGCCTTCTTCGTGAATCTTCACACTGACTTGCAATACAGATGCCAAAGCCGACGGCAAGCTTTAAGGCTGGCTCAGTTGGCGAGCACGGTGCCGCTCGGCACTGGCTGGTCTCCCGAAGGTCCTCGTACGTGCCCATGCAGAACTTACGCAGGACGTTTCGCTGTACAGATAATCATAGAGTACCTTATGGCGGCTGGTTCGGAAGGTGTAGAACATGGAAGAAGGGATTTGACACATGCAGACAATTTCCTGGGTACCTTGTGCAGGTCACCACCACATTACAATATTTACCTACCTTAGGTACCTAGGCAACTTGCTCTTCCCTTGCAATATAGCGCAACGTCAAAAGTCTAAATCCACCTACCTAAATGCACCGCACTACTATAACTACCCCTATTTTCGATAATGTATTGAAATTGAAGGAAAAGTTAGATACGTATGATTTTAGTATTAAAAGAAAGCCCTTTTTCCGCTACTTAATATTTAGTATATTAGCCCCTTACACGATAATAGGCATGCTAGCGGTTAAGTAATATAGTAATTAACTACGCGATAGTAGTCTATGGAATAGATTATTATATTAATCGTAAATACTCTTTAAAGTAATTAATATCGAGGACGTTCTTCTTTAAGGTTATAAGATCTAGATATATAGAATATATTATCCTTTTTAGAACTCTTTAAACTAGCTCGATTAGGCTTAGATTAGGGGAATATATAAGCTAGTCTATAAGGCTAAGAGCCTTCTATATAATCTAGGATATTGATTTATTAGATATATAGATAGATATATTATCCTATTAAAAATAACGTATCCTATTATAGATAGGAAGAAGACCTTCCTATAGAGCTTATATATAGGACCTAGATATATAGCCTTTATACTTATTAGTTTAATCTCTTTTTAGGAAGACTAGCTCTATCCGACCTATCTATTATATAGTAGCCTATATTATAATCGTAATATTTACTTTAACGTAATTCTATAGATAAACGAAGTCCCTATCATACTTCTATAAGGGTATACGCTATACCTAGTAAATATAGTTAGATATAGAATTCTATAAGCTATATTTATTAGAGTATATAGTCTAAAAATTAATATAAAATATCCTATAGGAAAATCGATATACTTTAATAAATTTATATTTCTTAGCTATCTATCTTTATACTATTAATAGCTAGTCTTTAGCTATAGCTACTAGTAAGGGGATCTAGTTTATATATTTATATTTATAGAAGCGTAGCTCCTTTAAAGTATATCCTATAGTCCTAGTAGATATAAAGGTAATAGTCTTCTAGAGAAGCTAATAATAGATAATACGAGGGTCCTTAATTAATATACGCTTAATAGCCCTAACGTCCTTTTTTAATAGTATCTTCTGATATCTAGATTATAGCTAGGTCTTTAGAGATATATAAGATATATACTATCGAGATATATAAGATATATACTATCGAAGTATAGCCTATATAGCCCCTTAAGATATACTAAGAGCCGCGGCGATATCTCGCTAACTTTAACCTATATTAATTAGCGTAATAACTACTATATAATATTCGGGACTTAGCTTAGAGTTAGCTTTATATTCGAAGTATAGTTTCCTAGAAGATAAAGTTTTTTAAGATATAGTAGCGGTAGTAGTAGTGAAAAAGGAAAAATCCTATATCGCGATCGCGTCGAGGAAACGCGTTGAAATAGGGCGGGTGGACTCAGACTTTTAACGTGGGTCTGTACGAATGGATAGTGTGTTCTATACGCGAGTGGGTCATTGGCATTGGCGGCCAATCAGGCCCACCTTGGCCTATAAGTGGCTACCTCAGGTGCCTAATGTACCGGAATTTCGGTACCCTGACGGCATGGATTTCAGCTCGTGCAGATGCTTGTCTACTACCAACCTAACTACATTCCCAACACCCATGGTGACTTGAATATTACATTCAACATTGCGCACAGCTCTCCATGAGACTCTAGCAAAGGCCTCGATTGGATTTGTGACACGGTCTGGGCGAGGCTTCAACTTTCTTACTTCTTCCCGCATCAACCAGGTTCAACACCCGTCACTTCTCTATCGACATCTTGGTCTTGGATAAATGACTTGACTGGTGTGTCTGACATGGACCTAATCGGACGAGGGCTAGGCCTCAATGATCAGCTCCAGGAAGACGCGATCTCGGACGCTGACTCTGATGAATTGGAGCTCCGGTTGGAAAATGCTCGTTTTGAACAGTCCGTCCAGGCTTTTCTGGCTTCGTATCGAGACCCAGATGAAGATGAATCCTCTTCAAGAACCAAAAGAGGGAAGTCAACGGTTGGACGGCACTCTCGCACCAACCGAAAGGAACTGGAGCCCCGTGCTGATATCAAGCTTCGGTTGGCTGAGGTCAACAGGACCTTCCTCAATGGCGACTATCCCGAAGCGGAGCGAAGAATACATGAGATCATTAGGATAAATGCCGAGACGTACCAGGCATGGATGACGTTGGCGACTATTTGCGAGGAGCAGGGTAGAGATTCCGATGCGCTCACTGCCAAGCTGTATGCTTCTCATCTTCGACCAAAAGATGCCAGTGGCTGGCTCAGCTGCGCGGCTCTCGCCCTGGGTATGGCCGGCGACGATGATGACAGCCCAGCACTCAAGACCGCAGGAACATGTTTCGCCTCAGCCGTACTCGCGCAGCCAACAAACATCGAGGCAAGACTTGGTAGGGCCGAGGTGAACCATAGACGTGGTCACTTGACCAAGGCGATTCGCGAATACTCTATCGTCCTAGATCGCTTTCCTCATGATATTTCACTGGTTCGAAAGCTAGCGGAGGCCTGTGAGGCATCTCGGAGTCCAGAGCATGTACAAAGGGCGGTGGACGCCTACCAAGCTTATTTTGCATACCTACAGCAAAAGCCATGCGATAGCGAGTCAGCAATTTTCTGGGGAGACGTCAGTATCTATGCGGAACTGCTCGCTTGCTTGGGAGATTTTGCACAGGCGGTCAAGCAGATTAGCTCCCTGTCGCGTTGGCTACTGTCACGACACGATGATGCTTTTTGGTTGTGTTGGGACAAAGACGATCGAGAATGGGATCATGAGAGCACGAGGCGCGAACAGATTCCCGGTTTCGACACATCTACATATGAGCTACACCTTTATGGATCGGGCTTGCCCCTTGAGCTCCGCGCCCGGCTTGGCCTGTATCGCCTCAAAATGGGGGACCAAGAAGAGTCAAGTGTAAGTTTTCAAAACTACCATAGTATCATGCATTTATTCTTCTTGGAGGCTAACCTTACGAAGAGACATCTTTTGTGGCTAGATCCCACTGAAAGCGCAACTGCTTCAGCTGTTGATGACTTTCCGGGCTTGATACGGGATATAGCGGATGCTCTAAACTCATCTGGCGATGCTTTGCGGGCTCTCGACTACTACGAGCTCCTACGGAATTCTGTCTATGGTCAAGACCCAGACCTTCTGCTCGATCTTGGTAGATGCCATCTCACCAAAGGCGACACTGGTGCAGCTGAAGACTGCTTTTTACTCACAATACAGGTGGACGATAGCAACATTGATGCTCGCATCGAACTCGCTAAAATCTACGAGGATGCTAGGGAAGATGAGGAAGCACTCATCCTCGTCACTGAAGCTATTGCATTGCAGGGCGCTGGAGAACATGCCTATCGTGCTGTTCGCGGCAAAACTGATGCGTATGCGGCAGACGCGGACGCGACTACTAAAAACAGAAAACGGCCACACGGGCACAACCCGGCTCCAGGTTCAGTTGTGAGACCCCGGTATCGACCAAAAAGATTGGTCGCGCCCGACCAACGACGGCGGGAGGAGCGTGACCGGGCTGACGAGCTCTCGCGACGCCACAAGGAAGTACGTGACCTCAAGAGAGGAATCCAAGAAGGCAACCGAGGGCTCATACCAATATGGATGGCAGCAGCGAAAGACCTTGTGGATGACTTTCGCTCCTTCAGGAAGTTTTATACTTGGGACAAGTACGTCAAGTATCTGGGCGCGAGCGAGGGAATTGTCTTCAACGCTCCTATGGAGACGCAGTACGGTACAGGCACATCAGAACTGCACGAGCTGGCCGAGAGATTGTCTCGGAGTGAGTACACAACATTTTCCACAGTGTTTAGCTCTATCACTGACAGATTTAACTAGACGTTGCGCCTTCACAGGGAGATGATGGCAGGGTCCATGTGCCATCAGATGATGACGGCCACCGCGGTATACCCTTTGGGGAGTGGCTGGAGCTGTTTCTCGATTTTGCAATAAGCCTAGCGCTCGAGGGACATGGCCACGAAGCCTATCAGGTCTGCGAGGCCGCTCGAGACTCGATCGTCTTCGTGAACTCAAAAGACTTCATGTTTCTCATCCATGTGGCATGGGCCGGTAAGGTTGAAACCTGGCCCTACGTCTGGACATATCCTAACTCATGTGTGAATAGCATGCGCAATTTACCTCGGAGACGAGGAGATGTGCGTTGCTATGGCGAGATTCTTCACAAAAGTACAGCAACTCGACTCGGATTCTTATCGCATGTTTGCCGCTCTATGTCGGTTATGTCAATCTCCTGCATCGTGGTATAACTCGGGTCCCGTCCAGAAGTATATACTACGGCAGATTCGCTTGATCGATGCTACACAGCTTCGGTCCACTCAACCAGGAACCCAGGTAACGATCCCGGTGGACAATTCAACAGCTCAAGGGCAAACAAGAAATCTCGATGTGTGTTTACTCACACTCTACGGCCACATTCTATTCACCTCGACCAGCTATACCTATGCCCTCAGTGAGTTCATGCTGGACATGTTATTCTGACAGTTGTTTTCCGTATAGCCGCTGATATGTCAACAGACTACTTTTTACGGGCCCGCTCGCTCGACCCTATGAACCCAATGATAAACCTCAGCGTTGGACTTGGCTACATACATCATGGCTTAAAGCGTCAGTCGGAAAACCGGCAATACCTTATTATGCAGGGCCTCGCATGTTTGTTCGAATACGCGGATTGTCGGATGAATGGCTCCGATAGTCAGAGACGTGAGGCGCTTTTTACAGTAGCACGTTCGTTCCACATGCTCGGTCTGCACCACCTAGCACATTGCTGGTATCAAAGGGTTATTGACGACCAGAGTATTCATCCAGCAGTAGCTCCTGGAGACCGCGACACTATTATCAATGCAGCTTTTAATCAGTATATCATCCTTATAACTAGCGAGGAGAATACTTATCTAGAAGCTAGCCTTCTTCATAGACTAGTTCTTTAGCTTAATAAGGTACTTGTATATTCTAGACTACCTTTACTTATTAGTTAATCAAGTTCTATACTTATTATTGAACTAATATTAGGGGATTCCCTAGGATAGTGATTAGGATAGTGATATCTAGGATATCTAGGATCCATAGCTCTCAGGAGCACGTGAACTACGGCTTACGTGATCGGTGAAGTAGACGGGTATATCTAACTTATATAGGTAGTAGTAACTTAGAGATAGCCTTAGATAATTAAAAATTAACTATTAAAGCTTTATATTAAATACCCTACCTATTTAGAGCTCGTAAATATAATAGAAATATTTAATTAAGGTTTATATAAATAATAAAGCCCTCTTAATATTAATTATATAATATTATATATAGAATAGCTAGAGCTAGAGAAATTAAGATTAGTCCTATAAATAGTATATTTATTATATATAAGCTTATTAATTATACTTTATAAGTAATTATAAGAATACTATAGTTCTTATATAAGCTTAATAATAAGGAATTCCTTTACTATATAATCTATAAGAGTACTATCTATAGGAGTTATAAGGGTTAGAGTCTTATAACTACTCTAGTAGTTTAAATAAAAGCTAAACTATAATAATATATATATTATAAAATAGAGAAAAATCGTAGCTATAGAACGGTATAATTTTTATAATATTCTATAGAGCTGTTCTATAGTAATAAGCGTTTAAGTTCTCTTATACCCTATTAGCTAGAGCTTAAATCCGACTCTATTTCCCCTATAGGTCTAGAGGTAGTCTAAGCGCCTTATCTATACGTAGCTACTAAAGGTTAATCTATTATATATAGAGGGCACCCCTTAGACCTATTTTTTAAATTTTTAGATCTTAATAATTATCTAATTCTAATTATACTCGTAAATCCCCTTTATATAATAATTCCTATCTAATTTATACGTTCTTAACTATTAAGAATAGATACCTTCTAAGATACGCCTTACTCCTATTAGGATTAATTTAAGTACTTCTCTTAATTAATTATAACCTTCTTCTAATTACCCCTCGATTTACTTATTTTCGATCTAAACGAAAAATATACTATTTTATAGCTTTTATTAAAGGCTATAAGAATCTTCGATCTATTTCTTAATTTAACGTCTCCTTCTAGAGATATAGTTACTTTTATCTCTCTTTTCCTTTTATTTATTATTATCTCTTTATTCTATAATTAAGCTATATCCTTAATCGTTATTTAATACCTTTTATATTAATTATAATATATATTAATAGGTTATAAGCCTAGATTTCTAATCCGTTTTAAAATCGAATTATAAATAATCGAGATAATAATTCTTTAATTATTTAATAACTTTAACTTCTTCTTAATTATTATATATTAAGCTATTTTAACTTTTATTAATTTATCCTTAATCTTTAGAAGATTCTCTATCTTCTAATATACTTTTTATATCGATAGCTCTTCTCCTCGTCGAGTAATCGTAATTATTAATTTAACTTTTAATTATATCTATACCTATATTTTAATAGCCTTTTATATTATTACCTTTTTATCTATAAAGTTCCCCTTTAGATATAAGAATTATTAAAAGATCCTTTTTCTATTAATATATTTTTTATCTTAATACTTCTTCTTATTCTTAAGTAATCCTTATTAATATATTATACTTTATTATATTATAATACCTCTCTAACGCTCTATAGCTATAGATAAAAGTACTTTTAAGCTATCCTTTTAGAAGCTTAAAAGTAATAATAGATATAAGATTTAAATTATATAAATTAAGTCTTTTTTCTTATTTTAGGGAATTAAATTAGAAGAAGTTATTAAACCTTTTCCTATTAATTTAATTAAAGAAAAATATATAGAGGCCCTTAAGGCTATAGGGAATATATTAAATATTCTAGATATAGGCCTACTTATTTAGGTTAATAGCCTATTAAATCCCTTAGAAATCTAGAAAAAATTATAAAAGCTATATAAATTAAAAGGTTTTTAAGCTAATCTTAATATTTTAATATCGTTTTTCGCTCTAGATCCTTCTAATTTTAATTCTATAGAAAACTTCTTTTATAAAGTTATAGAATTATTAAAGGAATTAAAGAATAGAGAATTAAACCTTCTAGAATAAATAATAAAAGCTTAAATCTTATATAAAATATAGGATAAAAACGAGAATACTATAATCTATATAATATAAGCTCTTTATTAAGATCCTTTTAATTATTTATTAGAAAAAATTATATCCTCCTTTCTAGACTTTAATAAGTCTTAGAAAAATAAAGGGAAAATTTTAACTCTTTAAGGAACTAAAAAGCCCTTAAGAATAACTAAAAAACCCTAAAAAAAGATTAAAAGTATATTTTATAAATATTATAAAATAGAAAATTATATAGAAGAAGATTACTTTTTCCTATACCCTTAGAAACGTCCTTTATCCTAGAAAAATTAAGAAATAGCTTCTATAGCTAATTCTAGCTCTTCTAGGAATATAAAAAACCCTAAGGATAATATAAATCCTAGGGATAAAAGGGAAAATAAATAAATAGCTTTAATAATCTTAAAATATAAAGAAAATTATAAAAAACCCTCTATTAAAGAGGATATAATTATAGAAGAAGAAGAAGATAATAAAGATTTAATAACTTTCGAAGAAATTTAAATTAGAAACTAAATAGATAAAAATCCTAAGGTAGATATAGCCCTTAATATATTATATTATAACTATATTAATATATTATATATAGATAATCTAGCTAATAAAGTAGAAAATTTTAGTATTAATATTAGTTTTATTATAGATACTATTATTATAATTTATATAATTTTAAATAAATTATTTTTTAATTATTTCTAAAAATATAATAATTTAAAGGCTTCCTAGGGAAAAGCTAGTTCTATATCCCTAGAGGGCCTAAGCGACGGTATTATATATTTAAAAGATACCCTTAAAGATATAATATTAAAAGACTACTTTTATATACCTTAATTAAGTATTAATATAATTAATCTATTTATTTTAGATAAAATAGGTTATTTATATATTAGAGGAAATAATTAAATAAATCTATATTATAAAGATAGATATATAACGATAATACCTCTTAAAAATAACCTATGTTAGATCTCCACGTTAGCTC